CAAAATGATTCAACATGAAACTTTTGTGTGTGAGAGAGAGAGAAAAGGTATCACCACCCTAGGATCCAGTGACATTCCTGTTGATTGCCAGAGTCCTGGTCGTCTTGGCTGGGTGGTGGTGGTGTCTCCCTGCGCGTTGACCTGGTGACGGAGGTCTCCCCACTTCTGTTCTCGATGATGGTGTCCTTTTAAGCAGTCCAAGTCCCCAAAATCTCCACCCAGTTCTAACTTGAGTACTCAAGGTAACAGACCCACACGACGATCGTGTGGTGTCTCTAGTCCAACGCGCGTGTCCCCGCAACTACCCGCCGAACCTTTGTTGTGCTTGTGCCATCGAGATTGTGACGGATTGTGCCAGGCTCTGGGTATCGTTGTTGGAGTACAGGTAGACTGCAGGGCTCTGCTCTGCCCTTGTGGTTTCCTTCATGCCAGGAAATGTTTATACAGTCTTGTGGTTTCCTCAGTACTAAGAAATGTTTAAGACAAATGTTTGACACCTGTCCCTTACAACCTTCCAGCTCAGGCGGGGCACGTAAGGCATGTGTTAGAGAAGATTGCTGCCAGGCAGGGTTGTTCCAAGAGGAGAGTTTTGGGGAGACTGTGCACATTGCGCAACATCCCAGAGCAGTGCAAGACCAAAGAAGTTTCACCTTGGCGTGAGAAGGTGTGGGGGATGAGGACATCCTTTATTTGGGCACAAAACAGTGGACTGTTGCTACCTGTGCTTCCTAACCAGAAGAACCACACTTAGGAGAAATTGTTTGCTTGCAACAGCCTCGCTGTGATTTTAATGACAGTGCCAATTCAAACCAACAGCTTTGCATGCGAAGGTCACGAAAAAGAATGTCATGATACAGATGGTTTTGTCCTAACAACAGAAATGCCAAGTGACTCCAAATGGACATGAAATGCATAACATTTGTCACTACTGAGCGAGGCCAAAAAGGAACTCAAAACTGATGTGCATCTTGCTTTTTAATTAGCTAACAAATTAGCTGAAATCAATTACCTATATTTATTAAGGCCAGGAGCAGTTTTCTGAGTACTAACTACATTCCTAAGATAATATTCTTGTTGACTGGAAAGACCTGTTCCCATTCATCAATAGGGAAGACATTTCAATCACTAATCCTACTGGGGAGTGTGTTTCCACTACAGGAGCCACACCAAAAGCTCCTTTTATGCTAAAATGAGAATTGCTACAATGCAGGTCCAGGGAACAATAGCAAGGAGTGGCACTGCAAGTATCAGTCAGCAAGTTTTAATTCTACCAGCACAGACCGCTTTTACACAGGCTCTGCCGAACAGCATTGTAAATTTGGTCTTCTGTTATCTTTTTGTCCAGTAACTCCGTTTTTGCACCCAAAATATGCTGAGGTCCAATACGATCCACAACAGGAGAAGCCAAGGGCATCATGAGGTCTCCTGCCACTTTGCTGCTTTTTCACTGACATTTGCCATAATATAGTTCAGATTTATATCTAAATTTGGCTGCTCCTTGCATCTGAACTTCACATGAGTCTGTAAAATTGACAACTCACCAATACCTGAGAAAAAGTTTTTCCGTTGAGGTGGCTCATGTGACTTGTACACTCTATTTCTTTGTTTCACTGCTCTATTTTTTTTTTTTTTTTTTTTTTTTTTTTTTTTGAGATTCCTGCCTTTAATCCAGGGCATGGATTTTATTTCACAAAGATCAGCACAAGGTAGAACTAGTAAAAAAACCCCAAACACAAAACCCCAAAGGTTTTGAGAGCTTGCAGTCCTTTGCATGTATGTTCTCAGGTTTTTAAATACTAACTGTGCCAGAGAATTGAGGCACCAGGATTAAGAAGTAGCACCAGGCATGCAAACCTTCTTTCCCTGAAGGCTAGTAGGAACAAATGATTATGGTTAGTCTGGATTGCTGCAAGAACATTACAGCAATGTCTGTGCAAGAAAGAAAAAGCAATGAAACACACTGAGGAAAAGTTAAATTTTGCATTTCACTCCTATGATGAGCAGGCCTATCTCTTGTTTTCTGCATATAGCTTACTTGTCTGCTACAGACCGTGCTAGTAATGCAAACTTCAATACATAAGAGAAAAGTCTCCTTAGAGATAGATGTATCTTTTAAGAACTCTCTCTCTCTCTCTCTAAGTTTTCTTAGCTGTGTAGCAGGTTACACAGTGCCTAAAACAGTTTCAAAAGCATCTTAGCAGTTTCAAAGGCATCTAAATGCCTTGGGGGATCTCAGTCTTTGGTACTTCAGAAAAGCTACCTGTGCTCTCTGCCCCCAGCTGAGACTCCCCCAAGGAAATCCTGGCTCCTGCAGGAATGCTGGCACCTACCCCCGGTTTTCCTCCTTCCACGTTTTCCTAACTCTAGCCGGATGGAGGTCTCATGTTAAGACCATGGCACAGGGGAAGGAAATGGTCTTGCAGCCAGCTGGCCCAGTGCGCAGGTGGGAAGATGCTGAGCTCAATGGTCTATGGAGCACGCAGAGGAGAGCAAGAGGCTGCTGGCCTTATAGTCACCTCTGGTCACAGCAGTTTGCGTTACTGAGGTGTCAGGTGGGTGAGTGTTGTTCGCTCCTGGATATAATTCACTGTAACAATCAAATTAGGAAGGAGCAGTGGTTTGAAGCACTCCGGGCAGGTCTGTGCTCCCTAGGACAGGATTCACCGCTAACCGAGCTGGGACATGTTTTCTCCTCATGGCAGTGTTTGCTGTGCGTTTCCTTGCTAGACTCGGGTAGTGGTCTCAGCTCATCTCTCTGAATCCTCTTTTAACAAGCTGTACTGTTAGGCTGTGGCAGCGTTTTCCAGATGACTTCTCAGCAGTGTCAGGTGAGTCTCTGTTACTCCCTGGGACTTTGCACACCTCCTTTCCAGCCCCTCAGCTCCATTGGAGCCATCCTCCTTCTGAAGGCGCTGGTGTCCGTGAAGAAGGCTGCACTGGATCTCCAGCATGACCACAGCTATCCCTACCTGTCCCTGCTGACTCCCTAGGGAGGAGAGCTCTGCTGCTTGCCATCACTGGGCAAGCTTGACTGCCAGCTCTGTCCTGCACCGGTGCCCCTCTTGGGGGACATTCTGGCCACAAGTCCTTACAAAGCTTCTCCAGTGCTCCTCTCCTTATTACAGCTTGTGACTGTACCTGAGCCGGCAGTGTGCCCAGGTGGCCAAGAAGGCCAACGGCATCCTGGCCTGTATCAGAGATAGTGTGGCCAGCAGGAGCAGGGAGGTGATCGTCCTCCTGTACTCGGCACTGGTGAGGCCGCACCTCGAGTCCTGTGTTCAGTTTTGGGCCCCTCACTACAGGAAAGACATGGAGGTGCTGGAGCGTGTCCAGAGAAGGGCAATGAAGGTGGTGAGGGGTCTGGAGCACAAGTCTTGTGAGGAGCGGCTGAGGGAGCTGGGGTTGTTTAGTCTGGAGAAGAAGAGGCTGAGGGGAGACCTGATCGCTCCCTACAATTACCTGAAAGGAGGTTGTAGTGAGGTGGGTGCTGGTCTCTTCTGTCAGGTGGCTGGAGAGAGGAGGAGAGGAAATGGCCTCAAGTTGCAGCAGGGGAGGTTTAGGTTGGATATTAGAAAAATTTCTTTACTGAGAGGGTTGTCAGGTATTGGAACAGGCTGCCCAGGGAAGTAGTTGAGTCACCATCCCTGGAGGTATTAAAAAAGCACATAGATGGGGTACTTCATAACATGGTTTAGTGGGCATGGTTGATGGTTGGACTCGATGATCTTAAAGGTCTTTTCCAACCTAAATGATTCTATGATGGGCTGAAGCCACTGCCTGCAGCCTTCAATCTGTTTGAACAGAGAATCCCGGAGACTATTTGGGGCCAGGACGGGAGGAAAGCGCAGCTTCTGGGAGGGACCTGCCAGCGCCTGAGGTGACTTGTCTGCATGAGTTGGAAGGTAGGTGATGGTATTTCTGCCTCTGTAGCATGCTGGACTGCCCAGTCAAAACATTTATTGGCACAATCTCAGATCATCTGATATTGCCTCAGCATTAATTTGCATTGGAGCAAAAGGACATGATGTTGGAAAAAGTTTGTATGCCCCAAATGTGCTGTCTCATGGCAGGAGATCCACATGAACAGACTCCCAGTTGAAAGAGAGAGAGTTACCAAGTATTTCACTTTAGTCAGAGCCATGCCACAAGCTCTCATTGCATAAGCATGTTGTTACACCAAATGCATGCATGGCTCTTAGAAACGAGAATGTCTCATCAGAAAGCCTAAGGTTAGCTTAAGTAGTTTAAATAGCAGGTTTCACTAACCCAGTTCCTTGTGATGGATGTAAGCCTGGAGCTCATCACAACTCATTCATGGCACTTAGCAGAAACTATTTGGCAGATTTCAAATTTAGAAATGAAGAAAACATTGCTGCAAAACCCTGATGGCTGTGATATAACTCTACACAGAGGCAAAAAAGATTCTCCTGCTTCTTATACGTGAGTGTTGGTGGCCTTACATGGTAGCACGGTGTGCTGAACAAGCCTTTCATAATTCTGAAGCAGTGATGAATGATACACTTGGGTGGTTCAAAAAAAAGTTCCTGTAAGTCAAAAAATAGAATAATACAAGAGGTAAATATGAGATTTTTCTGTCACAGAGTGTATACACAGGAACTTTTACAGCTATATGATACATGCAGGGTGAGGGGGGAGGGAGCAGTTAACACACCCATAAATTGAATTCAGGGATGTTGTGAAATATGTAGTGCCGGCTGTTCATTGCCAAGCCAGTAATTTTGCAATACATCTGTTTAATCTTCAGGGTGCTGTGCAGCGGCTTCCACCTACAAGTTGTTCGTTACTTACGCTTCTTCCGCATCAATAATGACTATGAAAATATTAATACTGAAAGTAAGGACTGCAGCTGCGTACTATGCATCAGACGGACGTGTGTGTTCCCCAGCAGGAAGCAAGTGCAGCCAGCAAAACAAGCCGTTTGTGGTGTCTGATCTGACTTCTTTGCAATATTTCAAGTGAGACTCTTCCTCTGAGCAGCAATGAATACGCTCAGATATTGCTTCTTTGCTGTCCTGATTCTCAGTGTTTCGCTTCCGTTTGTTTTCTATGCTGTCAAGTTGCGTGCACAAATACCTCTTAGGAGGCTGAACTTCTCGGTGAGCTCAACGTTAGCAGAAGCCTGTAAAGCACTAGTTGAAGATAAGGCGCCCTTCCTGAAGGAAAACGCTTTAAAAACATCATTCAGAGAATCCAGCTGCACGGAGTACATCACACAGAACCGCTACATCACCCGTGCACTCTCAGCCGAGGAGGCAGCCTTCCCCATCGCCTATGTCATGACCCTGCACAAGGAGTTCGAGACCTTCGAGCGGCTCTTCCGCGCGGTCTACATGCCCCAAAACGTCTACTGCGTCCACGTGGACGCCAAGGCGCCGGCCCCCTTCCAGCAGGCGGTCCGGCGCCTGGTGGGCTGCTTCCCCAACGCCTTCCTCGCCTCCCGGGTGGAGCGGGTGGTCTACGGCGGCGTGTCCCGCCTGCGGGCCGACCTCCATTGCATGGCAGACCTGCTGGCCTCGGCTGTGCCCTGGCGCTACCTGCTCAACACCTGTGGCCAGGACTTCCCCTTGAAGACCAACCGGGAGATCGTCCGGCTGCTGAAGGGCCTCGGGGGGAAGAACGTCACCCCCGGGGTGTTGCCGCCCCCCCACGTCGTCGCCCGCACCAAATACGTGCACAGGGAGCAATCGTACTCTTTCTTTTCTTTCATGCTCTGGACGTTCGTGCGCAAGCCGCCCCCGCCACACAACATCACCCTCTACTTCGGCTCCGCGTACGTGGCCATCACCCGGCCCTTCGTGGAGTTCGTGCTGCGGGACCGGCGCGCCGTCGACCTGCTGGCCTGGTCCGAGGACACCTACAGCCCCGACGAGCACTTCTGGGTGACGCTCAACAGGATCCCGGGTAGGACATCAGGTCCGGGGAGGGCACGGGGGTCCCCACCCCGGCACCTGCCACCACTTGGCTGTCGCGTGGTGCCAGCTCTTTGTGGTGGCCGCCACGGCTCGCCTGTCCACAGAGGTGTTTCCAGCTGTGGGTCTTGGTGGTGCTCACCAGTGGGTTGTCGCTGCTCCCATTGTTTCACGTGGAGAAATATCCAGGCAGGTGACAGCCCATGTTGATGGCACTAGCGGCAAGCGACGAAGGTGTACTGAGCCTCCTTGAGTTTGATGTCCTGGAGATTTATCCACTTGGCTGAGTTGTCTTCTGGTAGGAACAGCACCCATGACTGGGTAAGGGAGGTCCCCAGGGGCAGTGGGCTTCGCAGTGTGATGGGTTCAGGGACGCCACATGCCTTCCTGCTTAGCAGCAGCTGCCCTGCCCCCTGAAGACCCAGGGACGCAGCTTGGCATCCACTTGGCTTCCACCCTTTTTGGCCATACTGTCTCACTACTCCCAATCTTGTACAATCTTGCTTCTCCAAAAGCCACCAAAGGGGTTTGTGAATTTCCAGGTCTCTCTCACACACTTGTGGGCTGCGCACCTTCACTTGTAGGGGAGAGGCTATGTATTTGCCCGCCTATACGTGGCCCTCCCCAAGCCCTGCGTGTTTCCCAAACGTAAGTACATGGCCCCAAAATCCAGCAAAAGTTATTGTTGATTTCAACCAGGTCTTGCAGAATAGTATGTCCAAGGGTGATATATACACCATTTCAGGGAGATTTCTGAAGTACAGACTCCTGGGCACCAGCTTATAAAGTGCAGGAGAAAAGCTCAGATCAGTTGGTGGCATGGAAGTGTAAAGAAGTTGTCCCCTTCCCTAGCGAGAGATGCCGACGAGGAAGCACGGGCTGCTTCAGGGCACTGGTGAAGACTAGCCTGTTGGCAGCTAGGTTTTAACCAATGCGTTGGTTTGATCCTGGAATCACAGGTATGGGACTTGGAAGGTCGAGGCAAATCAGGCAGCCTTCTGTGCTGCGAGATTTCCAGCCCAGTGTTGGTTTATGTGCACATGACAGAAATGCCAACGCAGTGGCTCATTTTGTGTAAGCTTGTCTTCATAATATATGGTAGTGATACAAGAAGGAAAGGGAGTGGGCTGCCTCTAGGAGCCAATGCATGCAGATCAACGCTCACTGGAATAACAAAGGCAAGAAAACAGGGAGGGCTGAGCAGAGGAGGAGGTTGTGTTGCCTTTATCCAGTGGATGAGGTCCAGGCTCTGAAGCAGTGTTTTTCCTGCCTCCAAACCTCTGCCACCAAGGGAAGACGTGAAATTAAAGGCATCGGAAGGGCTGGCCTGTCTTTCCAGTCACTTATGACTGTCTTCACACCCGAGCGGTGCAGTTCTGGTGGCGGGAAATTCATTTCCAGAGCAGTGCTCAGTACTGCTGCCCACGAGGTGGCTCTTCCCCCCTCCTTGTTTTCCAGGACAAAACTCTGCTAACCTCCATGGCATGGGAGACAAGAGCTGGACAAAAGTAGAGTGAGCAACTCGTGCTGAAGTTTATATTAACTTTCTCCATCAGCACCACTTTTCAGACAAACTGCTTTTATAAGAACAGGACCCCAGAACAACTTCTGAATCTGAAATCAGTTGTGCAAACAAATATTTAAAGGAAAATGTGGTAAATTCATTTTTTTTTCCCCAGCGCTGAGCTACACTTTACCCACTCTTTAATTAACTTACAAAAATGCCTAATTTACTCAATTTGGGAGATGGCGAATAATGTGAAGTCAGTAGCTTTGTATTCCTTGAAGGCAGTGCCTTCCAGTGTTTTTGTGGATGTCCTGGGGTCATTCCTGTTTTGTCAGTCATCTTTCTGCTTTCCCACTGTGTCAGCACTTTCCAAGTCTTTCTGCACACCACATTTACTGCCATCTGTTATGAACAGGTTTTTAATTTGGGATGGTAATGCATGTCCCAGGCCATTTACAGTGTTTATCCCCTGCCATCACTGCCTCTTTTTGTCTTTTATAAAGTGTTATCTTCAGCTTAATGCTTTCTGCAGAAAAGTAACATTTTCTGAATTTTCCCCAGGACAAAACCACACTTTTTGGCACATTATTTTATTTGATAACAGCCTAATATACAGAGGGGGAGAAATAAAGTCATGAAGTTCTGGTTATAGCTGCCACATATCTCTGTTTATGGGAAAGTGCTATGGTGGTTCTGCTGTTGGATCATATGGTCTTTTTGCATCTGATATAGAAGTCATGAGTTGGTATTTGCAAACAAACATCCTTACTTATCAGGAGCAAGCTATCCTTAAAAACACAGAGCAAAGCAAGCAAACAGAAAAAAATCCTGATGTTTAACTTTTCTGCCATCCAATTTCTCCCCCCCCCCCCCCTACCCCCCCACACTGATGATTGCC